ACAGATGCAATGCTTGTCACAATCGTAATCCCTCCTCTTCAAGGTGCTCCGGCTCTTTCACATTTTAGTTGATTTTGTGCACCTGCCTCCTATCCTGCCCCTCCTTATTTAACCAAGACGTTTTTACCATTCTGGGCTCAGCTTTTGGGAGATGGATGCCCGGAGAGACCTGGTGGCATCAGCTTCACCACGGCGTCCTGACCGTCTGGGTCCGGGGCTCAGAGCGACCTGGCCTCGTTAACCCACTTTTATTTCCCATCCCTGCACCGGATCCCGCTTGGTTTTTTAAAACCTTATCTTGTCTGTCCTGGATGGATCACCCGGCTCTGGACTCTTGGACTTCGACCTGGATTTTCCCTTCGGTCTCCCTTGGACTAGTTTGCCTTGTATATATGATGCATTAAACTACTTTTAATGAAGGGAATTGGAAAATTTGCATTGTTTGTACAATGGCCTTGCCAGTACTAAAGTCTCAGTACCATAGCCATAACCAATATAAGGCTGTTTTAAAAGACTTGACCCTAGACATCAAACATCCTTAGAGCATTAATATGATTAACCCCCAACAAAACTGCAAATGATGAAAGAAAACATTCAGCATGAATGCTCTTTAATTCTTTCTGATATGATGTAATATAAGGAGTTTGTGTTGTGTTTGTCTTCCACAAAGAGCAATTAAAAAGATGCGGTAATTTCCACAGAGGGTGAAATACCTCATGAATATGTTCCAGAATGTCTTTTAAAAAAATATTCAGGCAAGAGAGAACAATTTTGCTCAAGATCCACCTGATCCTACAGCACGCAGCAAAAGAACAACCCTAGTTCCTGCTACGCTGATCTCTCTATTATTGTATCCAGGTCACACTGACCCTCTTGAGATTGGATAGAGGATAAGAAAACATTGCTCCTTCAGTTTAATAACTGTGCTCAATATCACGTTATTTTCTGATCGTTCACAAAAAAACTATGACTGAAACTGTGTCTGCAGTGGCGAGATCAGTTTACTTCTTTTTGTCCGTAAAAAACAGTGAGGTATTTAACACAACCATTTTATGAAACGCGTGGACAAACATGATGAATATTTTGATGCTGTTTTTGTAAGGAGAAGCAATTAAATCCTCCAAGTCATATAGTAGTTTACAGTGCTCCACTCAAATAGTACTACGACAGGAGTAATCATGCTTGAACACAGAAGTCGATTTGTACTGTATATACGGCCTATTCTTGTAAAAGTGTCTTGTATTGTATAGCTACACCACTGAACATACTTACAGTACAGTACATTGGAAATCTTAAAGGGGTGTTTGGTTTGTCGTTTGCCGCTGTTACTGCACTTGATCCTGGACTGTAAATAAATGATACAAACTGAAACCATTTCACTGTAAATGGCCAAATGGGGCCTATACCACAGAAGCCAACCCTGTTGATTAAGACATTGCAGGTTTTGGTCTGGGCTGTCTTTAAGCCAGTCATGATACAGCAGCAGTGTTGCAGAATTTGTGGAAACAGTGGCACAGAATGAGCTCAGCGTCACTGGGATTGAGTTTGCTGGAGCTCGCAAGGTCAGCCAGAGCCTGCAGCACTGTCAGCGAGAGAGACGTCACTCCTCTGGAGGTGAACTGCTTTTTACGGGCAGTTTGGGGCACTCAGTGTGAAGAAGAGTCAGATAAAATCACATGTGTGGTTTGCTTGTTCGGGAACCTTTTGCGACAGCGAATGGATTGAAAGCCAAATATCGCACCTTTGGGGACTGGCTGATGGCAGGTCATTAAAAGAAAACAAGCATCTCAACATTGAAATTCTGAAATAAAGTCAATGTCAGTGCGGGTGGTGCAGTATGATCATGGCATTTTTTTAATATAAAATATTTTGATATATCAAATAATCTTTATGAGTCAAGACTTCAAATTGAAATTCTACTTTTTATGTCTAGATCGGACAGATGCTCTTTGTTATTTGTGCCCGCAGTTTTGGATACACTCTGCTTATCTGCTTACCGAACTCTTTTCTTTGTAAGCTTTCTTTTCTTAAATTCCTACTCTCACGTCTCCTCTTCCTGTCGGAGACCGAGCAGGTGGAATATCGTGCTTGTTTTAGGCCATCTTAGCTGTTCTGTTTGAAGTCCTTCATGGACTCTGCTATAGTCTTTGTTAATCTGGAGATTTGGAATATTTTTGAATTCCTCACACAGCCTGGCAGGCCACGTAGCTTAAACAACTTAAACATTCACTTTAACAAAGTAAAAACATGAACTAGGGAGCACAAGTGGTTTCTTTCAAGAAATGGCTGCATGAGGTCATCAGGTCAATTAACTAGATGGGCCAAACAGACTCCTCTTGTTCTGTCATAGCAAAAAAATGAACACCATCACACCGTTTTCATCCTCGTGCTTCATTTTGTGTTTAGAAGACTGTGTATCGTGGTGAGGCTCTTTGGTACTCCTCTGCTACATTTCTGAAGAAACATTTTCATAACCCGACAAATTTTAATGACCAGATATGAGCCATAAGGTTATGGTTGGGGCAGATATGAAAAACACAATTCTCCCTGCCCCTGGCCTGATACTGGTCACTTGTGGGCTCTAAACAGACATGGGCTACTCCCTCAACCGCAGATAGCTCTGCCACATCAAAAGACTCTATCTACTGCTGCAGCAGCATTTTACACTGTCTAGATTGCACTTCAGAGCACAGAGCCCTGTCACACAGCAACAATGGGAAGGTAGTTGTGGGAGAGTTTTTCAGCAGATGAATCAAGGCCTCTCAGCTGTACAGAGGTGGAGGGACGACTAAAGGAAGCAAATGTAATTTCCGAGGACAAGCAATTATGCATGCATACAAACCTAAAAAAACATACAGGGTCTTGGTGTGAAAGCTGTGCAAGTCTTCTGAATCCCAACACTGGCTGGGGGTTACATCTCAATTTCAAACTCTGAATCATGTGGCTCTGGTGTTACAAAAGATTAGTTGTTGTCATGTAAACAGAATTTCTTACAGGGAGCAAACCACAAATCAAACCCTCTCATCTGTGACCTACACATCTCTGCATGTGATAAATGTACGCAAGTAAATGTCTCATTTATTTAGTGCAAATTTTCACCAGTTAATTTAGTTTTTGCTGTTTTATCCCTTCTGTTTTGAAAAATCTTCAAAACCAAGGCATAATCAGTGCTGGATCTCCCATTAGGCACAGTGCCTAGGGCCTACGAAATTTTAAGGGCCTACAAAGGAGGGAAACACTAGTGACTAAGAAAAAACGAGCTGAAACAACAGGCTTGCGATCGACTCTAGGTGCTCCCAATCAATAATCACACGCTATCTAGCGGCTCTTCTAGAAACTAGAAGTATCGAAGTGATGGTTGCTCGACTCGCTCCATCAATCACGTGGTTTAGCATGAGAAGAGTTTAAAGCGCATCACGTCAATCGACGTCATTCAATTGTCGTTTACCCCTCGTTTTACACATTTCAGAGTGACAGTGCCTGGAGCCTACGAACACCAAAATCCAGCCCTGGGCATAGCGCAGTCTTTAAAAGGTTGTGAAAATGGGAAAAAAAGACATTCTCTCAGAAGTCTGATTCACTGGAGTGATTCCAGGTGTGATTTAGGATATAGCTTTTTAAATAAAATTACACTTTGCACATCTAGATTGTAGTACTGGTGATAATGGATTCTCATGGATCAATAGAAAATGTAAGAAAATATATTTTATAAAGTTCAGGTGGGGAGCTGCGTCAGCATGCGTAGGCTGCAAAGGAACAAGTAATAGGTTTATTCCATGCTGAAAAAAAGAAGAAAGAAAACAACGTATCGGCCGTGGAGCTTTCTTCAGGTGTGAGGGTGTGATATGTAGGGTCAGATGTACTGTGATGGCCATGAGTCCAGCTCACTGCCACCCAATACTGGAGTAAGCAGTAAATGAACAGTCAGGCACAAGCTTCTGTTCATGTAGAAAGAATAATACAATTTTTACTTATGGGCACTTTTCAAGAAACACGAAATTTGGACTTGCCCCTGTTTTTCAGTAGTTAGTTTTGCGTAAATGTACCCGTTTTGGTATTTTATGCATTTTACACAGCTCCTTGGTATTCTATCGGTCCTGACTTTTATTTATTTTATGACCGGTGTGTTAAGGATGGTTTGTGAATGTGTTGGGTGGATGTTATCCCTTATTGGCATAAAAGTGTGCATTTTTATGTCTTTAATTGTATGAGCAAATTAGTTCCGTGCAACTGGTTGTTGTAGCAATAAACTTGATTTTCTGTAATCTGTCTTGAATAACACATTTCCTCTGGACTAATATTAAATATTGCCACTAATATTATATTAACGTTTTTTTCCATATTTATAAGTCACAAACGCTTTTTTTACAACTTTTTAATGACAGTTTTGTTTTTACATTTGATATCCTTAATATAATGATCCTTACCACCACTCATTCATCAAGATGCTCTTTGCCCACTAAGTCAAATGATGCAATTGCAAAATGTATCTAGAGGACAGGTGTCAGGCTAGATACACGCAGACAAATTACGTTTTTTATATCGATTCCGATTTGCAGAAATGAAACCTGCCGCCATCTATATTTATACGTAACACATCTATACAACATTTTTAAAAGTGTAAGCACGATTCTCGTAATTATTTTGTCATGGTAATAAAAACGGCGTCCATGTGCTGGAGCTGTCAGGTGGAGATTCACCGATTTACCTGGAGCAAAATAAAAAAAAAAGTTAATTTTAATTTCAGTTTAGCTATAATTGTAAGAACAGAGGTAACAAGAGCAAACTATAATGTCTGCATTGCAGATTCTTCAGTGTGAAAACCGCATTGGCATATCCTGTCCCGATTGCCAAATTTTTTAATAGATCACTTATCAGAATTTTATAAGGTGAGAACGAAGAGAAAATACAAGGAGATGCAATGGATCCTGGGAGTTTGAGGAAATCAGTCAATGGCCCTCAAAGTCAACTACATTACCCATAATACATACATGCTGAAATGCAGGAGGAGTTTGAGTGTGATGTCAGTTGTAGTATGAAGTGTTTTTTTTTTAAATTAGGAAGTTGATAAATGTCATTACATTAGACATATATAAACCTGCTTTTGTTCTAGATATTTCTTTTCTCTTTGTTAGTTGTTTGCACGTAATAATCTTGTATGAACGGTGCGTCTGCGTTTCAGACAGAAACATCCCTGTTGGATTGCTGTGGAGGGCTAAATAACCTGGATTACAACAAGGTACACGTTTGCGTGCAATCGATATATCGCTATTTTAATAAAAAATGAATGAAAATAAACTTCATTCCCGGCGCATCTTTGAATGCATCATTCAATCCGCTATAAGAAATGTATAAAAACGCATTATTGTTAAATGGGAATATGTGGTTTAAACCCCATTTTAACTCCTACCACTTCTTTTTCCAGTGTTTACGCAGTTCCCAATATGCATTTTAGACTTCAGGCTAATGTCTTCTATGCAAATGCCATATTCACGTCGTTTGTTATTAAAACTTGAAGATGATTGCATACCCACCAAAGAAAAAAAACACAACAGGAAGTTAATCTTGCGCAGGTAAATAATGTGAGCAATAGGGCAAGAAAAGAGCATGTTGACGGTATCTGCGACTGTAGCCGCTCACTGAAGATGAAGTAATTACAGCCGGTGCCTAGCAACGATCTAGCAAGGAGTCTTTTTAGGGCACTGATGTTGACACGCTTCCCCAGCTAGGCACTGGTGTCCCGAGATTAATAATATCCTTTCGATTTCAGAGGAAGCAGATAGATTTATTATAATTTTAAATCATGCTTGCATAATTTCTTATACTTCTTGCACGTATAAGAAAGTGCAATACACAGTCTGTCAAGTTGCACAGTTATATTTGATATTGAGTGCAAGAAGAGTGCATTGCATTGCACTTAGAAACCTCCGTCTTCAGTAATGCGTTGTTAACTGCAATCATATGTACGAGCTTTTATCAATATCTTGTAATGGGAAAACACATGAACAACCATTACATTATGCAAGTCTATCGCTATGATAGTTTCCTAACTCCACACATACTGTATGTAGGTCTGCATGAATAACATGATTTGGGTCCCATTTTGTGTTCTGAATCTACATGCTTCTGCTGGTTCAAATTCCAGATTAATGATGTGGGACTTGCAACGTCTGTTTTTCAATTTTGTAATCAACATTTTGCTGCAGAATGTAAGATACAATCATGGTGAGCAAAGGCCGACTGGGATTTCATTTGATTATTGCTGTGGTATTGTCATGTACAGTAACTGGGACTCCGGTCTCTTCACAATACAAATATGCTACAGTCTCTCAGCATGAAGGTATAACAGAGGCATTCTGCCATCTGAGATCATTTTGCTACTCAAGTACAAAGCCCTCAATCTTAAGAACAATCTCAACATGCCTGAATTATGGCCTGGATTTTTCTTTATGTGGTAAAAAAAATTAAGAAGTGCTCATGTATTGGAGGCCAGTATTCACATCTTGCTCTTTCCAGTGTAGTGTCACTGCTCACTGAAAATCTTCTCTTCCTCCTCTTTGAAGCCCAGATAGTTTACAGACATTTCATATGTACTTACAAACTCAAATTCCATCTTTTGAAACTAAATTCTTTATGTTCTTCAGAAGCTTAGGATTCTAGTACTCTTTAGTGTCTGGCATGACGACTCTGAATTTCTTAAGCAGATGTGTTAAGTATGATCGATTCTGCCTTCTTAAATGCAGTTTTGGCTGCAAGTCATTAAACTGTGTAAATACATATGAATAATTCATTATTTTTATTGCTGGACCAATAACATTCTGATCCTTTCTGTGGATTCAGCAAATTAAAACCCCTTTCCGATGCGTGTGTATGTATGCACACCAATGGTCTTGAAAAAGAGCACAGAATGGTCGACTGCAGTCTGGATCTTCTCTGTTACATGTACAGCTCCTCAGAAGTGCACTGTAGTGTCACTCCTTTAGGGTTTTCCACATTGTAGGCCTGTGGTTGAACTGAAATGGTGGCATGTGTCATTAATTAATGAAAGGGAAAGAAAACAGTCTGGGCTGGCTCAGTGG